AAACAGGAATAGCTAGCTTTGAAACATCATAAAAGATTGTAGAGCTATGCTTAGAAAACAAACTAAATAGCTGTGGCACACCCCTCTAGTGAGTAAGCTGTGGCCTAGCTTCTTGCTGATACCGAAATAATACCTTTTAGGTATTTACAAGTTCCCTCTTTCATACGGAAAAAAAGATCAATTTGATCACACAGGCGTTCATGTCATGTACAGTTTTTCAAACTTCCTTTCTTTATAAACGAAGGCAGTTATTTAACTTAACTTGTTGATAATYATCTATCGCATGTAACATACCTTGACAAACTCGGTTAAACGTTAAAATTACAGACACGAGATAAACCTGGATCTCTTCTCGAAGCTTCCCTTTCATAGCGCGATGTTTTCACTCGCTCCTTCCTTGTAAGAAATGATTAATGAGCTGGGCTACRACCAGGAATCATTTTGGCGCCCTTTCAAGTATTATAATGAGAGTGGTATATTATTTAACAATCATTCGCCGAAGGCGAAGTGGATATCGGGGAATAATAACCGAAACGAAGTTAATCACTAGGCCTGAGGTGAATAATTGTTTTAGTATAAATAGTGAGTCTTTCAAAAAAAAGAAGAAAAAAAAGAAGGATAAAAGACACATTTTTTCCCGATAACAGCAACAAAGCGGCTGGCCGCCATTATGGATTATCGCTGGAGGTGATTATCGTGTGATAATCTGAGTTTCTCGACCAATCAGCGCGCGAGATTTTCATTAATCACCTTAGTATTTAATACTAAAATTGTATAGCCAGTTGTTTATTAAATGACAAATATTATCTTACCAACTCAACCCAAAAGTACTTTTAGTAATTTTACTCGTTKCCTGTTTTCAAATGAAGTTTTCGAGATTTTAATTCAAAAGGAACGTACAGCAAACGAATCATTCAGAATGTTTTTAAAGCCTCAATTATCTTCTAGTTGAAAAGTTTGGATACGAAAAATAAAACTTCGTATACGAGTAAAGTAGTTTTGTATTTAATTAGTTCTTGAATTATAATTTTCGTCATTAGGATATGATRAAAAAGAAAGATTCAAATGGTAAAAAATTTCCTTAAAGCCTCAATTAGTACTCCTAAAGCGCGGAATTATAAATATAGAAGAAGCTATCTAAATTATGTATGTACATATGTACATACAACTATTTCAAAAAAGGATATGAAAAAAGATATGGAAAAAAAGTCATATAATAAATAGATAAAATAAATAGATAGATATATATACTGAAAGTTAATAAAAAATTGTAGAGTAGTTTTATATGTAATAGTTCTTGAGGTGTAGGATATGATAAAAAGAAAGCTTAAGAAATAATATGTTTGTACTGTAAGTTTAAGATAGAATTCCAGAAAAAAACTTGTCAGCAAGGCCAAAGATAAGATGCTATTAAACACCTGTAATTATAATGATGGCACATTTACTAATTGAAGCATTATTTATTCTAGATATGAGGTTTTCCCTTTTTTGTGATRATTTTTTATCGTGTTTTAGTTCTAGTACAATGTTAACATGTCCAACMCCAGTTCTTTTACAAGAAAATGAAATCCGCAAAAATTGAGAAAATAAATGACTAGCACTATCGTGAAGCTAATATGCTTCCAACAAGGTTTTCAATCATAATCTCTAAATTCATTTAACCATGCAACGGAGTCTCAACGCCTTCTATCAAAAGTCATTTTACACGATAATCCGTCTCAAAACAACTAGTAAATTTGAGCTTTAGTCCGATGAACTTGCAGTGAAAATACCGCTTAGTTCATAAATTAATTTCTAATCATTATTTTCGTACGAATTGTCGCTCACCTTCTGAGAATGCGATGATAGTAAGTAGATACAAAACTGTGCTGGGTAAAAAGAAGCGTGACAAATAAACAGGTTTGTCCATCCTTTTTTTATGGCAGAGCTGGAGAMGTTTTGTCGTCTTCTTCTGTTCAGTCTTTTGAAGTATTTTTAACAAGAATTTCGCTTAACCTACAGGGCGAAAATACGAGAGAAATTCAATGTTTTAACTTCACCACCAAACAGCACTGTGTATTAAATTTWAAAAAACTAGCTTTTTAAAAACAACAAAAACAAAATGAAGATGGAGTCTAGTTTTCTCCCGGATTGATCATTTCATGRTGTTTGGGAGAGAATAAAAACAAATTATTCCTCTTTTTATAATTGCGGACTGTCTAGTAGCCGTTGATTATATTGCRAAAACTATTGGTCATGATCGGAAGATTTTTAATTTAGCCTGAGGGAAAATATAATAGCTCCGACTCAAAATTATTTCATCAAAATACATGAGAATCAAATTGAAATAAATGATCAGTGAATCATAATAAAAACAGATCCGTCATCGCTATTTTTCGAATTTTTAATCTTATTCACTCTTTCACTATCTGTCTAATCTAATCTAGTCGYTATGTTCTATAGTTTGTGGGGAGAGAAGCGAACCGTAGGAGGATGGAACGAGACTAAAATAGCAGCGAGTGAGATTATATGTTTTATTTCTACAAAGAAAACTTTGAAAAAAATAGCAAAAAAAGAAGGAAAAAACATTCAAAAAAACAATAATTAAATAAAAGAAATGAAAAAAAATATTGGATAGGAAGTTTTTATCTTATTTATTTTAAATAATTCTAAATAACTTTWATGGATCTAGCCTAAAATTCATGAGTGTTACGATGTCATTTCAAGTTAATGCGAACTAATATTTCCTCTCAAAGTGAACCCTCTTGCTTTATATATGATGCAAATCGTAAAATACTAAAACTCGTTAGATAAATAAGGGTTTCTTGGATAGAACAAAAMAGTGTGAAATACAGAAAAAATTCCGTGCGAATGTTCAAAATAACAGAGATAAAACCTGCCGTTAAAGCTAATTTAACGGAAAGCAAAGCAGTCTATTCTTAAATAAAGAAGGATTAAGACTGACTTGGCTACGTACCTTTTAAAACTTAAAGCTGGCCTAATCCATGCTAAAATGTTCTCAAACGCCGATATTGCAGAATTATCTAGGTCGTTATAAATGCTCTGAAACCATGGCAGCGTTGAGTGGTTGTGAAAAGTTGTGAGAGGATTGGATTGGAGAAGTGAAGGCGTATTYAGAATGCAAAATTGAATTTTTACAAGTGTTGATTTTCGTGTAAAATGACATAAGGAAGTTTAGCAAGTGATAATCGATCGAGGCTCTTGTCCTCTCACACCTGCACAGTTGTTAATAAGAACTACATAATTTGAAAGGGCAGTTGGATGAAAATAGATAAAAATTGCAAATGACTTTAAACTTAATTAAACTTATCTATTATGGCCGTAATAGTAGCCACGCAACATATTTTCTTCACCGTAAAAAGTGCCGGATAAAAATTTATCAATTTCATTCAGCATCAAAACTGTGAGTAAATAGCGTCGTTTACTCGWCCCTATTGTTCTTTTCTCTATGTCTCAACTTCAAGTTGCTCCCAGACTAAAATTTTCACTAATCTGGTTTTSATATAATCATGATTTAACAAATTGACATCAGATTTATATGTGTCTGTCCTCTCATTGACAATAAATAAGATGTTTGCATGATGGCGTCATTTGACTCCCACTACCAAGATACTTCGCGAATTTTTTTTCTCATTTAAATTTGTATTCCCTCATGAGAATAGTAAGACAATTGGTGCTAATTAACTGAACAAAAGAAAGTGTGCAAGGGAGTCTGGTAGTAGAGGTCAATGACGCCATCATGCAAACGTCCTATTGTCCAAGGTGTTAAAAAAAGGTCTCTATCATTACAAGCTCACCGTTCGTCTCCCTTCGATGCACAGGCACCTTTCAAGATGGCGCAGGGAACCGTGAAGGGGACTATTGGTCTCCAAGCAAAGGAAGGTTTTTTAGCCACGTAAAACGGTGAGGTCTCGTAGTCCACTAAAGAACCTTACTCACTCATGACAGAAATCTGTACACGTATGCTAATGAGTTCAAAAGCTGGCACTTGTGCGTGACTATAGCTTCTTAAAAACCTGTATATAAGGCCCCGTCCACACGTATCCGGAAATTTTTGTATCCGCAAATTATCCTTTGCGGATACGAAAATGTTTGCGTCCACACACAGCGTATTCGAATCGTTTTCACCGTCCACACGTATCCGTGTTCGTAAARTGTCCGGATACGGATACAAAAATTTGCGGACACTTGTGGACGCAACCCGTATCCGTAAAAAAAAATTTGCGGATACAAAAATTTGCGGTACGTGTGGACGGAGCCTAAATGACAAAGAAGTTGTCGGATTCAGTTTTTCTCTATGTATATTCAGGGCCGTAGCCACCGTTTTTTGTTTTTTTTTTTCCGTGCAAATTAACCTAATTAAACAACAGAGTTACTTTTTTCCTCACCTGTTTTCCTCATGGCAGGATAAACACTATTTCACCGGCAACATTTCCCCGCTCTTTTCTAATTCGTTTGCAAATCAAATTCAAGCGAAAGTAATGCACAACAGCTCGAAACCATAGAGTGCAAACAATTAATCCGTGAAACACTAATTACTAAATAGTACAAAATAGTGCTAATTAAACAATAGAAAACAATGGAATTTGCATGAAATTGTGCTATTTAGTATTACTAAAGTTTCACGATTATATTGTTTGCACTCTATTRAATTCTGTTGTAAAGACATTATGGGAAGCCGAAGGGCAACTTTATTGGAGGAAAATTTATCAACTGCACAACTGTCAGAGTCTTTCTTTATATACCCTTGACACTTTTCAATAAGTAGCACATCTACAAAGCAATTGAATCTGCTGGTATTTAGAACAATATGCTAAACACCAAGACTTCATGTTTGTTTGCCCCCTCGGCATCTCATAATTCAAGATGGCCGCCGTATCAGTGAAAAGGTAATAAGMAGTAGGTCGTATTTGTTAACGGATGGGTCTAGAAGGCCACCAAAGCCATGTGTGCGAAAAACCGAATTTCATAATTGTTTGAAATACCTGAAATACCTAGAAGCTAGTGCAGTTGTGAATTGATGTGGCAATCCTTGAAAAGCGTCATTTCATGCATATAAACAGCTTAAAACTTATATTTTACAACCACCACTCCCCATACGGGGCTCTTCCATGAGGTTCCCTTCACACGCACTACCACTACATTCTATATTCACAGCATGCAACACTCAACTCAATTTGTTTTGCTCTTAACGGAGGGAGGAATCTGGAGATCCCAGAGAAAACCATCGTGGCAAGGGAGAGAACAATACATCAAGCAAACTCAACTCACATATGATCCAGTCTGAGCCAGGACTCGAACCCGGACCAGAGTGGTGAGAGGCGAGCGGCAAACAAAYCACTAAAAGGCGGTAAGTTGTACTYATAACTATTAAGACTTTTAATTACGACCCAACATATTTCCAAGCTGAATGACTAGACTAGTACTGCTTAATTTACGCAGCTCATGCTGATAGTAATTCATGARTTGAAGTCAAAACACAACCATATTGTGTACAATGAAAATTCAAATTTCTCAAAACGCAATTAAAAATAAATAACTCAACAGAGACATTTTCCGTTAAAACGTAAGGGAAAACCATATGAAAAAACTATAGTTTTATCAATTATTATTAATATACTTGTAAATAATCAGAAAAATCTTGCAATCGGCTAGCTATACAGATAGCTAAAAAAATCTTTWTATCTTTTTTGATCATTATACATCGAAATTTATCCTGGCAGTCGTGACTAAAAAATGAATGAATCGAAGATATGTCCGTCGTTTCCACAATTTAAAWTTTTTTAGTACGATAAGTTTTCTAGTACTGAAAACTTACGATACAGTAAGGACACTTGAACCTAAACGAAAAAGTTTTGCGAACGAAATTTTTTGACATTAAAAAAAATGCATACTGTAAGATTGTCTCCCCGATTAGTAGGGCGCTTGTGCCAGGCCAGAAGTATTCGAGACGTTAATAAACTTATTATTATTATTATTATTAGTAGTAGTAGTAGAAGTGATATTTATTCATCTATCGCCCGGTGTATTTGCACTCAATGCTTCATTTTTAGAAGGTTTGAAAGTTCAGGGGAAAATAACYTGAAAAACCTCGAAGTGTTGACGGTTCGAGTGTACTCAGCAGCTCCTTGTAAAACTTTCCATTTATTYTTTCCTTGAGTAAAGGTTATCCCTTGTAACTATTATATTCGACTTGAGCAACCTTGTTCTCGATTTTCAATTCATAAGAATAAAGGTTTCTTATTAAAASGGCTTTCAACCACAGAAAATGGTGTCATATATTAAATGTTCAAACAAAACTAATAACAACTGAACCTCAACGAAACACTTACCAAAGTGGTGACAATTTCTTTCCAMTAATTTTTTTTCACGATTGTCTCAGAACTATCAATATAACGTAAAAAGGAGAGAAGAAATATTAGCTTTTGGTTTGCGTATTCTTGCAATCCGCGCAGGGGTTTGTGGTGTACGTAGTTCTATTCGTGACCTAAGCCTAGAAAATAGCGTGGGGAACACTGGTAATAACGTAAATTGGTCTTTAGTTCGTCCGGTTATGAGGGCTTGATTACTGCCTACTGTGGTGCCCT